AATTATTATTCAATCCTTTCACGCAAGAAAAAATCAAAAATTTGTTGGCCAATCTAAAGTAAAAAACATTCAGTAATTTTGAAATATTTGTTTAAATCATATTTTATGCATCAAAATATCGATCAGTACATTTTTCTATAGCAAAATAATATTAAAAAATATAAATATTCCATAGAATAATAAATAAGTTGCAATTTTATCTCCGAATGAGATAAGGCTTTAATTTATGCATGTATACATATACTGAACTAAATTAGTTTCAAACCAGAAACAAGTTTGCGCGGAAAGTTAAAAACCTATGTAAATCTATTTTTTTTTAATAATACATAATTCAATGTGATTGAAATCGATGATTTCGTCAATAATATTTAACAATTATTTTTCATATTAATATTTATCATATTAATATTTTTTAATCATTACACATATCTTAAAAAATGACCATACGATTCGTTAAAAATTTTTTTGAGGATTTTGATTTTAACTCAAAATAAAATTTTATGTTCATTCTTTACAGAGAAATTATCGAATAAGGTATCAAAATTAATAAGCGATTTTTTGGAAGCGTATTACATAATGGAAGTAAAACCAGATTAAAAAATCTATAAATTATGCTTACTTTTTAATTTGAAAAAAAAAAAAATTTTAAATTCAAGATGGTTTAAGTTGATCTTTAATAAGAATTTAGTTGGCGAGATTGCTACTATTAAATTCTGGAATGGTACAATTAAAAAAGTTGAGATAAACGTTGTCTTATTAAGAGGTTTTCTTCGTATCAGTGAAAATAACACATTTTACATTTTATTTATACCAATCATGAGAAATATCTTGCATACACGTTCTTTTTACACAAAAGCGATTATATACTTTAGTTAGACCTTACTTAACTCTTATCCTAACAGCACATAATCCAATAAATCTTCAATATTTAACCAATATATTGCCAATAAATTGCTAGTAAAGTACAATTGGGATATCTGGTAAAAAATTTTTCATGCATGAATATGTACAAACATGTATAAACATATATAAATATTCATAAACATACATAATTTTATATGAAATATATCCATATGTGTTCATATATCCTTCTTTCTTTTGTAAAATTACTTTTTAGTGTAATATAAATAACAATAGTAATATGAAAACATTAAAAATAATTAAAAGAGTAATTTTTACACTATTTATTATAGAAAAAAATCAAGTTTGAAGAAATGTAAACAAATAACTTATATATAATTATACATAAAATTATGTATAATTACGAGCAATTTTTTTAACATTTTTTCAAATTTAATTTTTTTTTTAAACAAACAATGCAAAAATTATCCTTTAATTATCTTTTATGTTTTCACATTACTAATGTTATTTCTATTACAGTAAAAAGTAATTTTCAAAAGAAAAAGGGATGTATGAATATGTATGGATATATTTCATATATGATTATACGTATTTATAAATATTTATGTATGTTTATACATATTTATACATATTAATGTATAAAAAATTTTTTACAGGTTATATAAATGTACATAATTATGTCATTATAATTATAACTTGTCAATATAATTAAATACAATATACAATATACGCAAATGCGTTGTTATTTAAATGTGAAAATGTAAGCGAATGTCTTGTTGATTCATCAGGAATACATAGAGATATTTTAGCGATGATTATTTTCAGCCGAAAAACATTCCTGATACGAATGCTGCGTCTAACTTCGATACCTGCCACGTGCGCGGCGGCAACATTAAAAGTGCATTAGCTTTTTGATATTTCATTATATCTTGATTTTTTGAGCAATAAGCCCTTGGAAACTTCTCCTTTTCTGCCCATTGTATAGTTGTCCATGAAAATTTCGGACGCAAATGCAACTCGTGATTATTCATCTGTAAAGTTACGACGGCAAGGTATTAATAAATACATCTCTCACTGTATGTGTGATGAGAGAAGACGAGTCTTACGCAAGTCTGCAAAATAATAGGCTCTTTAAAGAAATTGCAATGCATCGTGTTTAGAAGTGGTAGAAGCACTATGTGCGCGACAATGGGAACTGTTGCCGGATTTGCCGACATGCACAAAAAAAACTTTCTCTTATAATTGTACGTGCATGAGGCAAACGTTGTCGATTTCCCTGGTTTCATGTTTAAGAGACCTGAAAGAGAAAGAACAATGCTCGAGTAAAAGGACATGTTACACCATAGTATATTACATCGACGATTAATACATAAGAAGGAAGGATATACCGAAATGTATTATAGCGTTAAAATATTCCCTTAAAATTGGTTTTAATATATCTTTGTCGTTTGAATGGCCCATTATCACAAGTACATCTACTTCGTTCAAAGCGTCTTCGATTTTTTTTATTATAGTATTCAACCTGGAAGAACATGATTGTTAAATTAAGAACTACGACGATGTTAATTATTTGTAAACCAAATTGTCTTATAGTAGCTAGAAGAATTACAATGAATTTTAAACTCACTTGTAAGCAGAAATTCCGAAGTCGACGGGATCGTATCCATTCTTTTTTAATAATGAGGTCAGAGTTATTCTATTGCTTTTATGGATGCGTTCTAAACTATTTTCAGGTTCTTCCAATTCGCTTCTGATAGATAGCAGACCTACAGATGGAAGTTCAGTAACTGAAATTAAATCGATGCTACATAATGTCAAAATACCCAGTTCCGCTGGTCCGAGACATACAAACGTTCGTACAATAAGTTGGGAACACTTTATTTCGTCTCCAGCGTTTCTTTAACAATAAACAAATTGTTTTGTGATAATAGAACAAATCGTGTTTTAAGAGGTACATTAAGTGACATCGAACTATATTTTCGTTGTATACCTGATGTTCTCGTTTATTTCCGGAGCAACCAAGACTTCAATTTCGTATTCCTTGTCGATATTAAAATAATCATCATCATTATCCTTGCATTCGTCCAATATCTTTATATTCTCTGGCGTTACAACCGTATTTGCTCCTGCAATCGCGCATAAAAGCAGTAATGAATCCTTTACTATAATCTAAACTACAAGCAAGTTTAATTTACAGTTGTAATTATTTTTACCATTGGGTATGGGATCTCCACTTCTTACACGCACGCAGGTGCCAGGCACGACAGAAATTTTATCAAACTGGAAAAAAGATGTTTTGTAAAAATCTAGCTTCGTTGCCTAAACTCCAACTAACTTAATCAATTACTAATTTAATAGGTAGAATTATTATTTGCAAAATATTTCCGCATAATTTACTTCTCATGATCTCTAATATTCACTGTTACTCTTTAGACAACGTAAAAAAATTAATAATCCCACCCACGTGCTATAAGCAAAATAATGCTATAACCATTATGCGTTAAGATTTTGGTTGTCCTTACCGTGGTTTGTGCTTTCAATACTTTCCTTACACCCTTCCCGTCGCTGGCCAACATCGCGTATCCATGTTTAACGGAAGTCTTATAAGGTGGCACGTTTACGGGAGAATATACATTTTTGGCCGTTATTCTGCCATAGGCATCATTCATTTTTACGACTTCTTCTTTTATATAGTTATTAGCATCACGTATTATAATCTGTATTATATGTATTGCTTCTTTCACCGATATTATATCACTTCGCTGTTGTTTCTTATAAATTCTCTTTTCTATATTTTCCTGTAAAGAGAGTCAGTTACGATTCGTGTATACGCAGCCTTACAAAAATTTATTTTATTGCTCGCGAACGTGTGGAAGATATTTTACCATTTCTTCTTCGGAAGTATCATACGAAATCAATTTATTATAACTGTCATCACTGTCGTTATTATAACTCATCTCATTAGAACTACACTCATTAGAACTACTTTCATTAGAACTACACTCATTAGAACTATTACGATTCCTTTCATATTCATTAAGCATCAAATACCGTATTTCTTTTATCATTTCATGATTTTTCTCCAAACTTATCATTGCGGCTGTACAGGAGCCGCACATATTGATGATAAATGTTTGCTTTAGTATACCACATATAAATCTAAGAACATGTTGATATTGTAAAAATTGTAATTTTGAAAATTACAAAATAATTGGAAATTTTACCGATCAAATAAATGCGTTAGTTCCTCCGTTAGCTTTGATATCCATATGTTTATATTTTTTGAGATATTTTTATCAATAACTTCTTCAACCGCCTTATATACAACATCACTTAACATCAAGAAATTCGTAGTATTGCCCATTAAAATAATAATATCATCTTCATTTTTATTGCATAAAGAAATTAATTGCTTCTATATATATATAACATACAAATTTATATGTTTATGCGTGCTGCATGCGAAAAAGGTACTTAAAAATTTATCTATAAAAATATTACCTTTATTTTCTGTTTATCACAGTTCGAAATTTGAATAGCATGCAGTTGTCCTATACACTTAATGCTGTCTTGTAGTGACAGGATTTGAGTATTTAATAAGTCATTATTATTGTTTCCCTTTACTATATAAGCATACACAATTAGAATAAAATTATTATAATATTTTTAAGAGCTATACGATGTCAATTAATATTACAAAAAATTATTAATAGTCAAAGATACAACTCGATAATAGACGTGTGGAAGAAGATAAGACGTGTGTGTGTGTGTGTGTGTGTGTGTGTGTGTGTGTGTAATTATTTTTAATTTTAAAACATGTACGCAATAAAATATTTTGTTTTGGATTTTATTAATATTTATTTTTAAATATAAATTATATATAATGTATGTCTTGTAAAAATATACATACCAAATAAAATCTTGATTAGAGTCATTTCAGCTTCTTTCAATTACTTCTTCATAAATTTTGTAACTCTTACTATTCTCGTTTATATGTCAACCTCGTTCGCTAGCTGATGTTACTTTGTCTTCGATAAAGTAGTTGATTTCAAAAATCGTACAAAGGTGTTTATATTTCTGTCCCTTTTCAAAATATTTCTAACTTAAGACTGCGGTCTGTGTCGAATTTGTTTTGAATGTATATCGCGCAGCAGATCTTTTCGCTCACGATATTAACAATTAATTTTATTAAAAATAAATTTTACAAAATATTGTTCTTTTAATCAAAAAAGAAGCAAGGTCCATTACATTAAATTATATCGGCAGAATTATAACAGAAATTGAATAATATTTGCATCACGACAGATTAGATAATGCCAAAAACAAAACATAGATCTAACGGCATATTTGCCATCACGCATAAAGAAATCGACTTTAAATTGTCAAAGAGTTTGTTACTAAAAAACAATTCAATCGAGTTAGTTTTGAGAAAAGTTTGTTTAAGTCGTATGTATTAAAATATCAATCAGAATATCAAATATTTTTCTATCAGAATGATATTAAAAGATTAAAGTATTTTGTGAAATAATAAATTAGTTGCAGGTTTATCTCGCGAATAAGTTATTATGCTTTGATTTATGTACATAATTTAACCAATAATATATCAAAGCGTTGCGTATGGAAAACATTCTATAGTTTCTACAGTTTCTTTTAATTCTATAGTTTCTTTTAATTAATTTGTCTCATTATAAATTGTTATCTTTTTGTTCGTATCATCAATTTGGAGACACTCAGTAAATCATTAATATTTTCCTCTTATTGGAATTATATTCAGAAGTATGCACATTCTTTTATAGCTTATATATATATGATGTGTGAAATTATAAAATGGTATAGGGATCGGAATGTGCGGCAGAAACTTTTATAATTGCAAAGTTGTATTATTTTAAATTTTTATATTTTAATTATCGTAAATCAAGTTGGTACAGGACGTGTGATAGAGTTTATTTAATAAAAAGGTTAATTCCACTTTAGGGCTATCTACAAGAAGGATCGGCTATATATAAAGTTTTCAATATAAATAAAAGGTTCCTGCTCTCCGTTATCATATCTTTTATCCTCTCAATGCGACCAACGTTGCATTATCGCACGTACACACTCACACTTTTAATTACAGTAGTTAATTGCTTGAAAAAATATATTTTAATCCTTAACCAGCACAATGGGTCCTTAAGCGAGTAGTTCTAAAAGCGACTTACATCTAGTTACAACAGCAGCGACGAATTATGGATATATTAGGTATGCTATTATCAAGAATGTTGCTTAAGTTGATTATTAACTGATCTCTCATCAAAGTTTCTTATTCACCTTTTGCTTCTACTTTCCTCTAATTTAAAAATACATAATTATATTTTCAAAGTTTTTGAATTCTTGTATTCTCCTTTGGGATCGTAAAAAAATCTATTTGAGTAAATATATAAGATTAATAATTAGGTTTCTCTCTCTCTCTCTCTCTCTCTCCCTTCCTCTCTCTCTCCCTCTCCCTCTTTCTCTCTATCTTCGTTCCAAGTATTGTGATTAAAACAAGTAATATATTTTAAACTATGAAAATACATTTTTTATGTTCTAATCCACGTTTTCTTTTATATTCAAAACCTCAATTTAATGGATTTAACGAAGATCCAGTGAGTAGGATTCAAGAGTTAATTATCCGTGACCTCGCCATATCAAATACATAACTTCACCATACTGATTAAGGATTAATGATCGGGTTTCTGCTCTTGTTGTTGATTACAACGGAACGTGCAATACGATATGTTCGTAAACCGAGAATCAATCGGATCGTATATATAGAGTACAGATATATGCACACACATATCTGCCATTCTACTAAGAGCATTAAAGCTAAAACCCCTAAAGTTAGATTCGATAAAATCACAGGTTTAGAATTTATAATGTGTCACGAATTGACAGACTTCAACTCTATATTTTCATTGTATCCACAGAGTAATTACACTGAGATGCCCTTCTTTCTTATCCTCAGTCGTAAGCGTAATTACGGCGAGAATTTTGTTTTTTCTTCGTTTTTCTTTTCTTCTTTTTCCAGATCTGAGAAGTGAAGAGAGATATTTACATGCAAATATACATTAAATTGGAGGAATGCGAATATAGTTAAGTGCGTTTCTCAGCCGCGTCGTCGTTTTCGAGGACAAAAAAACCGATAGCATCGTTGTCGCGTGGATGATCGTCGTTGATCACGCACTACTACGTTTGATAAGGTCCTTTAGGCATTTAGGTGCGTCGATGATGGAGGGTGCGCATGTATACAAAGATCTGCAGATCTGAGAGGGCGGGATGATTTACTAGACGCTTAACTTTATTAAGAAAATATCGGATTGGAACGAAAGTTCGTAGTGCTATGAACTTTCGTTTTGACCCAATAGTTTCATAAATCTGTTAAAAAATACCATTTTACTTTCTGTGAAAACCGTAAGACTTCTCGATTAATTGCGAGATCCCTATTTTTCTCTCTATTATCCTATTATAGAATATTGATATTTTAAACATTTTTGCATTTCTGATTTTTATATTTCTGAAGACAGTCGCTATGTCACTTGAAAGATAATTTACATGCTAATACTTGGTTGATAATGGCGACGTTATCTATACAGGCTGAATTGCCTATGATGACCAAGCAGCCTTTATTCACACTCACGGAGCTTTCGATTAAGGAATGAGATAGCTGGAAACATCAGGAAAACATACACAAAGCTTTTCGCTCTCGTCCGCACCCTCGATCAAACGAGCACACGATCGCGCGATACACCATTGATCAAAACTTAGATCAATATGATCGGAATTTTAGTCTACATACAAATATACGTATATATATATATCTTTGTTTACATGTGTGTATGTGTGTGTGTGTGTATATATATATATATATATATATATATATATA